GTCTGTACAGACTCTTAAATGTCAATTGGATCTCATTTATCGAACCTTTAACCCACAAAAACCTGCCCCCGTTGTCTGCCGACTCGTTTACAAGGAGGTCGAGATGTCCGCGAATTGGCATTCCTATTTGGCCCTTTTGACCCCTGCACAAGGGGGCAGGACAGAATCATCGGGGTCCATCCCAACAGGGGCCGATCATGTCCCATTTTCTCAGTCTTTAGCTTTCAATTGTCTCTCAGAGGAGTGCACCGCATGGGGCTCGTTCTCATTCCGCCATGACTTGAGCCTGAAATGTCGGGCATCATCGCCTAGAGGCTTGCCCTGAGTCCTCCAACATTGCACATGCTAACCCTCGGCTTCCTTGGACATGCAGTCGACCGCGGTGCACTCCTCGTAAACAATATTTATTAAACCGTGGTGCAAGACGTAGGACATGGGTTGTGATGCGGCGACAGGAAGAAGACAGGAGTTCATGATGTGGCAATGTCGGGAGGAAGAAAGGTGGAGAATGCGGAGAAGGAGGAATGAAGGAGTACGTGATGTGGACTATCAAAAACGAAGAAGAAAGGAGGAGGATGAGGAGAACTGTGATCGGGTGACTGATAATGAGCACGAACAGAAAGGAGGAGGAAAAGAAAGGAGGAGGGGGAGGAGGAGGAAGAAAGAGGATGACGTCTTTCTTCCTCCTTTCCTTCTCCTCCTTTCTTTCTCCTCCTCCTCCTCCTAAACAAACAACCCTCTCGGCACAGCCCCCCCCACCCCCTGCATCACACTACCCAAAAGAAAAAAATTGATGCCGATTTGAACAGTAACTCGAAGGGCGCAGAAATGCCCCCCCAGACTTGAGAAAATAATAATAAATTTCAAGGCCGAAAATCACTCGCCCGGGATACCCCGTGCAGGAGACCCGGGCCGCCCGGACGGGCGGGTTCGGTAGCCTAAATAAGTATTGAGTGGCACCATTTTCCTAACACAATTTTCTTTTTCTTTTTTGAGAGTACCTGTGGACACCAATTCAGATGAGTGCTAGCAAAGTTGTTTTCCCGTCCCTTTAACCGCCTTCTGCCCCGAAGTTCTTCGAGCTTCGAGAGAGATTCATGAGGTCTTCTGCATTTGTTTGCAACTTTGCATCCTACCTGTAGACACCGAACCAGGTGAGTGCTGGCGTAGGTGTTTTCCCGTTTCTTTGATCGCCTTCTGCAACAAATGTTTTATAGATTCGGGAGAAGTTCGGGAGAGGTTCGTGAGAGGTTCGGGAGAAGTTTGGGAGAGGTTCGGGTGGGGTCTTCTTCAGTCCGCTTATTAGAAACAGAAACTGATAATTTAAAAAAAAAACGAAACCTGAGCACTGTGGTGAACGACACCAGTTCGGAAAGTGGAAACCATTGTAAACAAGATTTGAACTTCGAACCAGCAGTTTATCCGAGGGAGCCTCTTTTTGCCGAGGTGGATTTTCTCCCTGCGCGCCAAGCTTTGCCATAACATTCCAGCACGGCACTTTTTCCTTTCCGTTCGACTGGCTGCACCAGCCATTTTAATCCGGCAGCCGTGGGCCGCCGAACTTTGCCGAACGACTCCATTTCGATTCTCAAGTTTGCCCGGGCGATGTACTGGCGGCTTTGAGGAACATAATTATTTCCTTCATGGAAACAAAGGGAAGTAAAAATTTAAAAACCGAGCTTCATTCCTCGAGGATCTTTTTCTGATGGCCGAGCATCGAGTTTCTGAAGCTTTGAAAACAATTGGCAGGCAGTTCTCCGTTAGAGCACCAAATCACAATGAGCAAATTGAGTCACATCATCACATACAAGAACAAAGGAAGTAAAGTGCATTGGAAAAAGAAAAGAAGCTTCGAAACAGAGAAAAAAGAGGAAAAACGAAGGAGAAAATGAAGGAAAAAAGGAGGAGAAAAGAAGGAGAAAAGAAGGACAGAAACTGTGTAGGATGAGCAGGAGGGAAATGCACGAGAGGGGAGCGGTTGGTGAACTGGTATACGATCGCACTTTCATTTAAGCATTGTTTGCTTTCAGGCATGGTTTCCTTGCTGGAGAAAAGTAAGGGGACTGATGCCCCCCAGAACAGAAGGGGCACCCATGTGTGTGTGTGGGTTTCGGGAAAAGAAAAACGAAAAAACAAAGAGGTGGTATGGTATTACAAATTATAATACTATAATACGTCTTTTTTTTTTTTTTTTTTTTTACTATAATACTATTACTATTTGGTGTATACTGTATGGTAGTGTATACTAAGCCACAGGTGCAAGCAATAGGGTCAATTGTTGGTAGAACAGTTAGAAACGACTTGCATTCTCATAGGAGGCATCATAGTGATCGTTGGCCGACTTTGTGATGACACTGCCTACAGCATTTCACATAGTATAGCACTTGCACATAGTGTTTTGCTCACAAAGCACTGACATAGAACTCGCTCACATAGCACTCGCATAGCACTCACTCACATACGACTCACTCGCATAGCATTTGCCATTTGATCACGCAGCACTCACGTAGCACTTGCATAGCAGTTGCATAGCAGTCATATAGCACTTGCATAGCACTCACATAGCACTTGCAGCAGTCACATAGGACTTGCATAGAACTAAGCACTTGCATAGCAGTCACACAGCACTTGCATAGCAGTCACACAGCACTTGCATAGCAGTCATGTAGCACTTGGATAGCAGTCACATAGCACTTGCAATGCAGTCACAGAGCATTCATATAGCACTCTCATAGCATTCATATAACACTCTCATATAAGGCCTTCTCATGATCCTGCAAACTGGATATACACTTGCCGCAGGTATGAACCATAAGATGGCCAACCACATCCTATACTCAGATTCGAAATCATGTGCGCACTGCGACAACTTGAAAGGACACCGCCAAACACATATCTTGGAAAACTAGTGTGTGTGTGTGTGTGTGTGTGTGTGTGTGTGTGTGTGTGTGTGTGTGTGGCCTGTGTCGGCCTGTGTCCACCGGCACGGCCATAACGTATCTTTGAAACACCTCTGCAGTTTTTCTAGCAGTTGCGGAAAACATCTGCACGTGCATTCTGCACTGAATTCAAAACGAGAACTGCACAATTTCACAAAACAACCATGTCGCAGAAGCCTAAATAGTCTCCTCCTAGGTGGATGAACACCCAGTTCCAAAGGCCCACACACACAAAATCCCACATGCACAAAAGCCCACAAACACAGAGGCCTGCGTACACAAATTGTCAAGCAGCCAAATTGACTGGATGGCCCTTAAAACTACACACGACAATAGGGGAGTCAGAAAAAAAAATTTGTAACCTGTTTTGTGCGATCGGGAGGCCGGAACGACTGGCGCGCACTTGCTGCAGGGAAAACGACGGCACTCCTCTTCGTGGTTAGGCAAAAGACCAGAATCTCAGATTTACATAAAGCAGCTGGCTGGTTGAATTGGTCTGAGTCACATAGAATCATTTCAGAACACGACTCGAGATCCCCTCCTCGTGGCCTATAGCTATTGAAGGTTGAGGGTTTGAGCCCATCAGACGCCCATCAGACGGACGCTGAAAAAAAGAACGAAACAGATGCACTGCGTGGCGGTTTCAGCTGCTGTAAGGACATACACTCTGTGCAGGCGACATGCAAATGGCTGGAGCAAGACTTTCAGCGTATAGCACAGGCCCTTTTTCCCCAACAAGGCGACTGTGCAGGCGACATGCAGATGTCTACAGCAAAACTTTCAGCGTATAGCACAACCCCTTTTTCCACAACAAGGCGACGATCAACTCTGAACGAACGAATGCGGGTCCCTTCGTTTCTCAATTCAGCCCTGACCGTCAAGCTTTCTCCGGCAAAAAAATGAGCGCCTCGCAAACGGTGTCAGAAGCACACGACAGCGAATGCAGAGCAATCTCTCTTCCACACTAGGAAAGACACATCTTTGCACACATCGCTCCCCAGCCAATAAACTCGCAGGCTTCCTCTTCCATTGCGGCCTCTTTACACACTCCTTTTGCTATCTTCACACACTCCTCTTGCTGCTGCTCCTGCTCAACACAGTTCATGCGTTCTTCCATATGATGGGTGCTGCCGCCTCCCGACGAAGGCAACGAAGACTGCTTCCCTTTTCTGTGCTTTTTGAACGAGTGCTTGACTCTCGTATCCTTCTCTATTCCATTTGTCTCAGAAACCTTCTTCTTCCTTTTCTTCCCATTTCCACTCGACTCATGCGCTCCTGCCTTTGCAGCTTCTTCTGTGGCAGCAGGGTCTGCCGACTGTACTTTGCGTACGCCATTTGCCATCTTCTCCTCGCCTCTCTGCTCCTCTCTCTCCTTGATACTATTGTCGCTCTTCTCAGTTGCCCCACTCCTGCTAATGCACCTACGTATGCTATCTTCATTCCAGCTCATATTTTGCACATTGCTTATCGCATCTGCCGCGGAGGAAAACCTGACCGTTTGTACCCTCCCCCGTTCTGTTCCATCTACCTTCCTCTCCAAATCCTGCTGGTATCCATCTCTGCCTGACCTAGTGGCACCTACGCCATCCAGAGCGGAACTTGACCACTCTGCAAAATCTGCATCCTTAGTGAACACTCCATTACTTCTCGTTTGACACGCATCCACATGCTCCCTCAAGTGACCCACATTGCCAGCCTCACCCACGTGTACTTCCTTCTCTTTCTCTTCAACACCCTCCATCTCCTCCTCCTCTTTATCTTCAACACCCTCCATGTCCTCCTTCTTTCCCTCGCCGTCCTTGTCCTCCTCCTCCTCCTTGTCATCATCGGTACCATCATCGCCATCATCCCTTTTTCCTTTCTTCTTCTCCACATGACTGATCTTTTTATCAGCCACCAATCTATCTTCCTTCTTCCCCTGCTTCCCCTCCTCCTCTTCCTCCTCTTCCTCCTCTTTCTCAACATCATCATCATCATCATCATCGTTATCCAATCTCTTTGCCACCGCGTGGCAACTCCCATCCTTACCTTCCACCTTGTCTTCATCATGCCCTCCATCGTTTTCACTACCACGAGTGTGCACACCACTGACAGTAGCTCGGCTGTTCGCACGATGCCCAGAGGACGCACCCAGGTCCTCATTCTCATCCCCCCCCTTGTCATCGCTCATGCCACCCCGGGCATCACTATCATCCAGTTTATCGATCAAATCAGCGATCACCTTATCTGCTTCAGCAACGTGCACCTTCAGCGTCCCAGCAGCCTCGTCTTCCAGCTCATTGTTGGAGGCATTCCAGTTGAAAAACTTCAGCGGTTCTTTCTGCGGATAGTCTGCAAAGAAATTGTTGTTCACCATGAACCTGAAACTCTGAAGAAGAAAGCTCTTGTCGCGACGAATCTGCCAAATCAAATAAAAACAGCCAAACCGTTCAGAATCTTCAGATCACGTTGACGACGATAACTTAACACCCAACTCCCAACCATTGCCACCACTTGAGCTCTAGAGTTGCAGGACTGCAGAACTGCAGGACTGCAGGACTGCAGGACTGCAGGACTGCAGATCTGCAGATTGGTGCCTTATTCAAACCTTAAAGGTGAAAACATTAATGATTAAGCGGGGAATAAGCCAAATTGGAGCCTTGCACCCCTAATGTTCAGGAAAGTAAATCTAAGAAAAAAATAGAGTTGCACTATTCATTCATTAGGCGCGGCAGTCTGGGTTTCCTCTCCCCTTCGTCTTCCCATCCTCGTTCATGTGATTCATTTATTTTTTACTGTGTGTCAAAGATCGAATTGCGCCATTGAATAGACTCAACGGCAAACCGGGCTGTAGGGCCCTATGGGTCTTGGACAAGGTGTTGTCTTTTTTTTCTCATCTGTTTTCCCCTTCTTCCCCTTCTCTCGAAGCTGATGAATGATGATAAGGAAAGCAGCAATTACAAGTTCGCAAACCATGACCTGAATGGTCTGAAGTCCACACAGTGGTTTGGAAAGGCTGTCAAACTATCATCATCATCATCATCATCATCATCGTCATCGTCGTCGTCGTCGTCGTTGTTGTCATCATCGTCATCGTCGTCATCGTCATCATCATCGTCTTGAAGAAAGATCCCCTTTCTTCTTCTCTTCCTCCTCCTATCCCCTCCTCCTCTCCTCCTCTGCTCTTCTCCTCCTCCTACTACTACTGTTACATACTACATTCCACACAGGCCCTTTCAGGCCCGACGACTAGGCTGAGGGGTTCCGCTGGCCTGGACGCGATAATCCAGGTCAGGCCAGCCCAAAGGCCGGACCTTTTTTAGGCCGCCCCTTTGGCCTTGGGCAACCAGTTCTAGACCAGGCCCTGCAGCTGCAGGCCCTGGGCGGGAAAAGGCCAAACGTTTCGTTTGGACCAGGCCGCCATTTAGGCATCCTGCTTCCCGAAAACCGGTCCGACCTGAAACACGGATCGGACGATAGATCCGACGGTTCAGATTGGAGACCACTGTGGGAGGCAGGCCAAACTGACCGCCGGCCGGTATTTAGGCCCAGCCACCGGCCATTTCAGGACGGGAGAGGACGACAGCAGTTCGAGGAACGCTGCGCTAATCTTGGTTTAGCGCAGCTCCGAGCACAGCAGCGCTGATTAGCGCTGAGTGACGGCTAGAGGTGGCAGACGGACACTTACCGGCTTACCTGCGCAGCGCCATAGCTCCAGGCTGAAGCTGCGGGTCTTCAACAATTCCAAGGCGCCAGCTTGCATCTGCAGGTAGGAGCCTGGGCGCTGACTCACCACCTCCTTCTCTCCTCTGCCCCTCTCGGATCTCTTCTTCTTCTTCATCTCCTTCTTCTTCTTCTTCTTCTTCTTCTTCTTCTTCTTCTTCTTCTTCTTCATCTCCTTCTTCTTCTTCTTCTTCTTCTTCTTCTTCTTCTTCTTCTTCTTCTTCTTCTTCTTCTTCTTCAGACTGGAGACTACTGATACGAGATAGTTGGGATTGATACCAGGCGGCATCACAGATTGGACACCGGTTACAGTAGGATTCTGTACCTCCCACATTGGTCACTTATTGTCCACGACATTCTGATCTTGTTCGGTGACATTTTGGACTACCATATCGGTGACCTTCTGGATTCTATCTCGGTGACATCTGGCGCTGCCTATACTTCCCACCTCCATCGTCTCTCCTCCCACCTTCATCTGTGTATGGTTGTACGGGGCCCGAAGCATCGTCTATGATTGGCTTCAGACCCACCCTCTCATGATTGCTTGTGTGTTGAGTGATGTCGGGGTGAGTTCAGTCTATGTGAGACAGTCCATTTCTCAGACTTCCGCTGTATACATGCTCATCCTATATTGGTTGATCTTTGGTTCTGCACATACTTGGTGAAGTATTCACTAGTATGCAACAACTACTCTCCTACTTTCCTGCTCCTCCTCCTTTCCCTACTTCTTGTTGTTAGTTTGGAGCTGCATCTACAGAATAGAATTTGCAGCTCTCTGTCAAAACTTGAGAGATGGAAACACTACCACTCAACGCCGGCACTGTCTTGCATAATACGATCACAAAACCTCACAGAGATAGAAGACCAACAACCGACGATGTGCTGTCACACTCTTAGAGCGTGGAGGTCTGTCATTTGTCACAACATTGGACTAGGACTTGAAATCTAGGGAAGTTAATCACGTCATTCACATGGCTGATGTCGTTCCATGCAGCCCATACATCAGAGCAAAATCCAAGTTTCTCTGCTACCCACCATTGCAAAATTGTTGCCAGTTGTAAGATACAATCAATCCTTGATTCCTTGCACTACAAAAAAAGAAAAAAGAAAAAAAAAAAGCGACTTTCGGGTATTCATGCATGTAGGGTTGGGTATTCATGCATGGGCATACACTTGCACTTGCACTTGCATGACGCAATCAAAGCTTCTGCATGGGGTTGGGTGCTTCATGCATGTGCACTGACTCCCAGATGTACAATATAATCAATGCTTCTCTGCTGTGGGGTTGGGTGCCTCATCTATGGGCCCACAGGCATGGCCCGGCACTTCATGTATGGGGCCACAGGCATGGCTCTGACAATTCTGCTGAACCATCAGCACCGTTCCCAGCTATTATTTGGAGATGCGGCTCGTTAACTGCTGCAGCTTTCGGGCTGGGGCCGCTGTTGATAAATTTCATCGGCACCCCCTCCACCCACCCCCCGTTATCGCGTTTCGAGACTCCAAAAGTTGCAGTGAGGAGTACGTAACCGTACGTTGCACATGTGTGGGCGACGTACTGGTGTGGTCTAACTGAGAACCAGATGTGTTACATTCCAGGGCGCGAGAACGTGGAGGGGTCCGACAAAGGGCCTCGCCACACGACTCACAAAACGAAGAAAGTGCAAGTGCATCTTCCTACAGAAGGTAACGAAATACATCTGTTTCTATGCATCGTAACACGTGTATCTTGCCAGCTTCAGTGGAAAAATGCACTTGCCTTTTTTTTCCATTTCGTGAGCCGTTAGGCTGCAAGGTCCAAAGATGGGAGAATGTGGAGGTGAAGGTAAGAGAGTTCGAAGAGGTGGGAGACGGAGCGGGCACTTACGTCTCGTGATAGAAGCTTCGCCAACAGGGAACCGTTGCATGGATCCATTGGGTTTCCAGTGACAGAACTGTTGACTTTAACTTCCTGGTGGAAGTCAGCAACACACGACGAAGACAAGGATTCAAGCACACAACAAGATGAGAAAAAGGATTAATGATTAACAATTCAAAATAGATATATTCCAGATTGGCAAAAGAAAACTATGTGCCAGTCCGTCTGAGACCGTGCCGTCCGTGGCCCACGCCCGTGGATTTGGTCGTCCGTAAAATTCCCCAACATTCTCCGTACATATTTTTAAGCAAAATATTACAATTTTCAAAAACAAACAGAAAACGGACTCGTGTTCAAAAAACAAAACACAACACAACGACTTTTGCCTAAGAGTCGTCGTCGAATTCCTAGCCAAATTCGTCTCGTGTTCAAAAAACAACACACAACTGAACTGCGCCTGGACATCTGGGTCCGGACTTGGATGTCCATACAGACATCCTGCATGATTAAAACTGCCCCAGACGTCCGGGCAGGTAGAGTTATAGACAAAAACAAAAGCAGTTTGTTGAGTCAACAAAACTTGAGCAAGAGCACAGCAAAATGAAACAAGAGGGAAAACCTCCACTTCCACGCCGCCGATCGAATATGTTCCCTTTTTTTTTTCACCATCTCCCCCGTGTTTCAAGCAAACACACTTACTGCATTACTTCTCCTGCTGCCCAGATAAAAGCGCCCCAGACTGCATGAGTTCTCCCAAAGTTTGCCTGGGCAGCTCGCAGGAGAATGCACAAGAGAAAGACGCGACAAACCCGATATAAACTGCCGTGGACGGAGACTTGCCGTGCAAGCATCGGATCACACGACCTAAAGCCAGCCATGACAGCATTTGTTGTACCGTGCTGTGAGTCGCCCCAGATGCATAAACATTGACATTGCAGGATTTGATATTCCACAGTTCACAAAAAAGCAAAAACTTGAAAAAAGTTTTAAAAACTTACAAGTCAAAGAAGGAATGAAAAATAGTACGCACACTTACATTAGTGCCTCGTCGTCCCTCCGACTGATCATGTCCGTGTAAGAATCGACAATCGTCGCCCCTATGACAACGGCCGATCCGAAACAGGCGGCAGGGTTGCAGCTGCATCGGCGAACACAATGGAAGCAAATCAGCAAAAGAAGATACAACTGTAATGACCTGCAAAATCACAGACTGAGAACACTGCTGATTTCTGAGTTTCACCGCTGGAATGCGTGCCTTGCTGAGATTCCCGCGTCCTGCTGAGTTTCCTAAAAGTCTGTAGGTGTGTGCGTGCTTGCTGGTCTGTGTGCCTGTCTGAGTGCATGTCTGCCTGAGTGTGTGTTTGGCCTGCCAAGGCATTTGTGTGTGTGAGAGGCCCTCTGGGCCGGTAGTACCCAGTACCTATCTGTGGCCGTGACTTTGAGGGTTGCAGCGGGGAAAACACTCAAGTGCTCGGAGGGGTAGCTTAGGCCCACTGGAGTAGGGGGAGTAGGCTAGGCCGGTAGCTCTCTAGTAGCGGTAGGTCTAGCAGAAGAAGACAATAAGTTAGGATGTTTAGAGGCCGAGGAACCGGTAGGCCGGTAGGCCTAGGTAGGTGGTACCAGTCCACGTAGCCTGGGTCTAGGGCCTGTGCGAATGGTAGCAGACCTGCAAGGATGTTTCCCTCCGAAACGAGTTTTGCTTGGGAGGCCGAGCGGCCAGGAAGTCACCACCCAAGAGGCAAGTGCCTCGCTATATCTGGAGGCAGAGTGAGAGAGGCTCAGCCTCATTTGCGTTGTGCAAGTTTGGGGGTCATGCTGCTTGAGCGGTCGCTGGTTCTCAGAGCGCTGCTGGGAGGAGGGAGGAGGAGCTGGGCGCTCTGGCTATGGCGAGCTGCCCAGCCTGAGGAGGAGGAAGAAGGGTGCAAAGGAGGAGAGTGGCGAGGTACTTACCTGGCTATGGAGGTCATCATCTTCATCTTCTTGGTTGGCGCTGCTGCTGGAAGGCACTAGTTAGGGTGCGCTGCTACAAGAAGGCTTCCAGGCAGAGCCAGGCATGGCGGCCTGAGGTGCAGCGGACATAGCTGCTTTTGCATTGTCTTGTGAACACCAGGGGCTGGCCCCTGATGTCCACCATAGCCAGTACTTTGCCAGAGGAGGAGGAAGATGGTATCCGTGGCTATGGTGGACTTCATATTGTGCTAGCAGTAGGCGGACTTCATATTGTGCTAGCAGTTCGCAATTGGATGGCATTGCATTTCCTTGAGTATTTGCACTTCCGAGTAGTGTCAGGATTGTAACAACAATTAAACAAATCAACTTCATGAAAGTTTAGACCACCTGTACCTTTCACACGCAAACTTTAAACACAAAAACACCATACACCACGTTTTTCAGAGGTCGGGCACCAATGGACCAAAATGGCTGGTGGCACCAGCCAAGAGAGAAAAGAAAAGCCGCACTGGCGCTTCGAGAAAGCTTGGCGTGCAGTTCTTTTACGCCTCAGCAAAGAGAGGCTCGGAGTCAGTGGTCGTTTAACGAAGTGAATTCAAGTCAAATAATAATAAAATTAGCTACCTCTTTTTCCAGTACCATTACATTCTCATAGAAGTTAAAAAAAAGAAAAAACGTTCAAGAAAAAACAAAAAAAACTTAGACGTTTTTTTTCCGGATATCCGGATGGCCCTGGACCATCCGTATTATCCGGCCGGAAAAAGCCACCCTGAAGAACCCGGAAAATACCCTTCCGGGGCCTGCGCAAAATAGGCGCAGGTCTTTTTTGGGGGGTTCAGGGGTGCACAGGGGTTTTGATCGGCCCCTGGAACCCCGTCCCGGGGGCGGATCCGGTAAGGGCCCTACCTGTTTTGAAATACTAATTGCCCGATCTGGGCTGTCGATCGACTAACATTGACGGCCCAGATCGGGCCAATTTTTGAATTTGAATTTGCGACCCGCCCCCACCGTTCTTCCCCAGCAACAGCCCACTGCCCCGTCGCCGTGGTGCCTGCTGCTCATCCCCGCCCGCCGCCCTTGTGTTCAGCCTGTCGGTGCTGACGGCCTGCGGCCCCGTTGCCCCACTGCCCCACCGTTGTGCCGCTAGAGCCATCGATGCCCCCGCTGGAGCCTTCGCCGGGAGAGTCCTCCTGATGCAGCGTCATCGAGGTGAGCTTCCGGTCCTCCTCCCCCTTCACCGGTCTCCACCACCTCCTCCTCCTCCTCGTCCTCTTCCTCGCTCTCCTCCTCCACCTCCTCATCTTCTTCTTCATCCTCCTCGTCCTCCTCCTCTTTTTCGTCTTCTACTTCTTCTTCGTCCTCTTCCTCCCCCTCCTCTTCCTCCTCCTCCTCTTCCTCCTCCTCCTCCTCTTACTCCTCTTCATCCTCCTCTTCCTCCTCCTCCTCTTCCTCCTCCTCCTCCTCCTCCTCCACCTCCTCATCTTCTTCTTCTTCCTCCTCCTCCTCGTCCTCTTCCTCCTCCTCCTCGTCTTGTAGTTCTTCTTCTTCTTCCTCCTCAGTTGCTACATGCCCAGGAGGTGCCGACGTATCTACCCTGCACAGTTGCTATGCGCTCTTCTACCCTGCACACGCTGAATATAACAGGAGGAGGAGGAGGAAGGATGACGAGGAGGAGGAGGAGGAGGAGGCAGAGGAGGAAAAGGAGGAGGAGGAAGGATGACAAGGAGGAGGAGGAGGAGGAGGAGGAGGAGGATGACGAGGAGGAGGAAGGATGACAACGAGGAGGAAGGATGAGGAGGAGGAGGAGGAAGGATGACGAGGAGGAGGAGGAGGAACAAGAAGATGTAGAAGACGAGGAGGAGGAGAAGGAGGAGAAGGAGGAGAAGGAGGAGAAGGAGGAGAAGGAGGAGAGGGAGGACGACGCAGCAGAGGTGGAGGAGGAGGAGAGGAGGGCCAAGGCGGACAGGGAGGACGAGGAAAAGGTGATGGTCGGGGGGGGGGACGTCGCCGAGTCAGGGGAGTGGGAGGCCGACTGCGTCGCGTCAACCCCCCTCTCCCGCCGCCAACTTCATCGCAGCAGCCCCCCCCCCCAGCCGTTTCGGATTTCTTTTTTTTTTAATCATTCTTCATACAAAAAAAAAAAAAAAAAATTGATTGATTACCAATCGAATCGATCGATTCAATCAGATCAATCAATCAATCAATTCAATTGTCTTTTTTTTTCCATCGATTGATTGATTGAAAATCAAGATCCAATCGAACCGATTGATTCGATTGGATTACATTTTGTCTTTCTTTTTTTTTTTCATCGATTGATTGATTGATTGATTGGTCAACCGATTGATTCGATTGGATTACGATGTCTTTTTTTTTTTTTAATCGATTGATTGATTGATTGATCCGATTGAATCGATCGATTCGATCGGTTCTTGATTTGGAAATCAAGATCCAATCAATCGATTGATTCGATTGGATAATCCGATAATGTTTGTTCTTTTTTTCTTTCTTTGTTTGATTGATTGATTGATTGATTGATTAAGGAGGGAGAGGGGCGGGGAGGGGGTCAGGGTGGTGTAGGGGCGAAAGCCTGATCAATTGGACTACGAGGGGGAGGAAAGGGCCGACGAGGAGGAGGAGGAGGAGGAAGCGGAGGAGGAACAGAAGGAGGAGGATGAAGGATGACAAGGAGGAGAGAAGGAACAGGAGGAGGAGGATGAAGGATGACGAGGAGGAGGCGGCGGCGGAGGAGGAAGAGGATGAGGAGGAGGAAGCATGAGGTGGAGGAGGAGGAGGAGAACGAGTAGGAAGGATGATATCGAGGAGGAGGAGGAGGAAGATGTAGAAGACGACGAGGGGGAGGAGGAGGAGGAGGAGGAGGAGGAGGAGAAGGAAGAAGACGAAGTAGAACGAAGCGGAGGAGGAAGAGGAAGAGGAGGAGGAGGAGGAGGATGAAGAAGAAGATGTGGAATAGGAGTAGGAGGAGGACGACGACGACAACCAAGAAGAGGAGTAGGAGGAGAAGGATGAGGAGGAGGAAGAAGAAGAGGAGGGGTTCCAATGTGATTTTCACAAAAAAAAACCATATTTGAACCTGTTGGAGTCCTATTCAAGCGCTAAAAAAAAAAAAAAAAAAAAAAAAAAAAAAAAAAAAAAGGACATTTTTCCGGCTTATCCGGAAATCCGGATAAACAGGATGCCGGATAAAGCGGCCGGATATTCCGGTCACTTAATCCGGCCGGAAATGCAAAAAAACTTAGAAAAAAACAGAGCGGAAGTGCCTAAACTTGATGCTCTTTTGTGTTAGAAAAGCACCATCGCACTCCATTCCACTGGGAGCAAACAACGGACACGCACTCGCATAACTAAATGCTGCATGTAGGCGCGCTTGGTCAGCATCTCTATGGCCGTACTCACACTACCGTCTTCACCCAAATAGCATGCTGCATCTAGACTGAAAGTTGCCCCAAATACAGCTCCAATGACCGACCGTTCTATTCAGGTGAAGAAGGTAGTCCGGTTCAAGATGTATGATCTGACCACAGTGTGAGTACTGACCTTTTTCTTCTCCTCTTTCCTCTCCTCTTCTCTCTCCCTGTTCTTGCTTGTTCTACACGCCCTTGTCGCCCTCCTCTCCTTCCTTCTGCCTGTTTTTGCTTGTTTGTTTCTCTACTTCCAAATGGGATGGGGTGAGGTGAGTTTGCGGAGTGACAGCGCCCTAAACCACGTGGTTCCAATACGTGGGATTCAGACCCGAAGCGTCTGCTCTTAGACCCTTGTTATATTCAAGATCAGCAAAGACAGTCAAATTCTTGCGCCCAGAAGCGCCTTTGTGGGGTTCAGACACGAAGCGTCTCGAGCCCCCCACTGGCATGCTTTCTGCTCAGTGGGGAAGCTTCCGTCTATTGAATAGACAAGCAACTAAAGGTAGTATTTTGGTCATGTTAAGTCATGGACTCGTTTCTTCAGCCCTTCTTTTCTACTGTAGGTGCTTTATATGATCAACAATGAATAGACAAGCAATTGAAGGTAGTATTTTAGTCATGTTAAGTCATGGACCTTCTTTTTTACTGTAGGTCATGGTTGCATCCCTGCCGACCGCCGACCCCGACCGCCGACCCCAACCGCCGACCATATTGCAGCCGGCCAGTAGGGCCGACCGGTCGGCGGTCTGCCGACCAGTCAGAAAACAACCATCCACTAATTTTTTTTCAGATCTGAGTTGGAAGCTGTACTGCACTTGCTGAGTACAGCCCAAATCCGCTGAGAAACTTTTGGGGATGGGGGGGTTCGGGGTCGGGGTGTATAGGGGGATATAGGGGGTATAGGGGTGGTATAGGGGGTATTGGGGGGGGTTATGAAGGTGTTGGGGGCCGGATTGTGGGTGTTGGGGGGGTGTATGGGGGTATTTGGGTGGGTATGGGGGTGTTCGTGGGGTTGTGAGGGGTTCTGGACCCTTTTTTTCGTTTTTGTTTTTGCGGGGTGCCAACGACCCCCGACCAGTAGGTGCCGACCAGCCGACCGGTCGGCGGGTCGGCAGCCGACCAGTCAAGGGTCGCCGACGGTCGGCCTGTGCAACACTGCTGTAGGTGCTTTATATGATCAACAACAGCAAACCCGACTTGTTAAATACTACGGAGGTTTTGTCAGTACATTGCCTATCTCTTCGACTATCTTCTCTACTATTTTCCCGTTTTTTTTTTTTTTTTACATCTATGGATAATTGCCTAAAAAGGTGGGAACACACAATGACCTCACCTTTCTGGCATTAGCCTTGTTGCACCGTTTATCAGCCACATGGCTGTCCCAATCTCTCCCATCCTCGTCATCTGGCCACGAACGCTTCTTGCCTGAGCCATTCACATCCTCCACTTCTTTGCCAGCTGAGAGATTCCCTGCATCCTTTACCCCAGACTCCTTGTTTGAGTTCACATCCTTGAGCTGTTGGGCTGCTGGCCTAGCTGCGCAGGTATCGGATCGCTGCTTCTCCACTCCAGTTTGGGAAGTCGGCCGGCTCTCCTCTTCGGCTGGCTTCCGCCTCACGCCTACCGGCCGCCTGATGCGCAATAGATCGGGAGGTATTTCAGCAACTGGCAAGCCCATCTGTTCTTGCCGCGAAAGAATCTCCCGCAGCCTCTGTGAAACAAACACATGCAAAAACAATTAATGAAGGTGGCATCGTATCAACATTGCATGATTGCACAGATTTATCATGCACTCAGTGCTTCGATTTTCTGAGTTGAATTAACTGCTTTACTCCGTGAGACTGTGCGAGTCAAATTTGATTTGAACTACATGCTTCACACTGTGAGTCAGAATCCCTCCGCTCCACTCTATGCACTCACTCATACAGAGAAGAGACCATTGCTTTATTTACGCCACTCGCACCAACAGTCAATCGATTCCCACTTTGTCCTCCAACTGGCCACACTGAGAGCGACTCCTATGTTACAAAAAAAAGGAGTCCTGAAAAAGGAGTCAATCGATTCCCAGAAGATCTCCTCTCCGAAGTTCTTTTTCTTTAATCTTTCTTTTTAAGTCCCCCTCTTAACAGTTCCACCAAAGACAGCAAGCAACGCAGTCCTGAAACATGATGTAGGCGCTAGATTGAGCCATACCCACAGAATCTTGGGCCCCCGCCGTGCCTGCTCATAACCAACAGCCCACACAAGGGAACGAGTTCGACAACTTCCACACACGTCACTCGCTCTTTGCCAACCGATCATTGAGTTTGAATAATGATGACAGTGTCCAGCTATCTCATCGTCAAAAAAAATTGACGTCACTGTTTGGCGACCACAAGCATGGACAGGTTGTTTAGCATTCTTGTCGATTGCCATTACTAACAAACTGGGCTAACCAACGACAATAGCCAACCGCGCTGATGCAAACCGATCATTGCTAACCGCGCTGATGCAAGTCAACGGATAGTCAAGGAATAGCCAATGGGTAGTCAACGGATAGTCAAGGATCACAACTAGGCCTTGTCTCAACAACAGCTGCCAGGGGCCGCCGATTTACAGACGATTCTCCAAGGAAGAGAGAGAACCCGCACGGGGTTGTATCTACAAAGTACGCCATGAGACTTTAGTCACGTTCACAGCAATGATTTCATAATTACAATTCACAGGTTAGACGGCTTCGCTTAAGCTTTCGGATTGCGGGGGGGGGGGCGGGGGGGGGGGCGGAGGTTGAATCACCTGATGAATTCCTTCACAGATCATTCATTCAAAAACACACAAGCAAAAAAAAAAGTGGGTGGATGACCGCCGATTCCTTCAGATAATTCAGGGTCCATAGACAACAATGTCTGCCGAAAGCAATTTTAGCAAAATCAGCAACAAATTTGAACAAAACTCTATGGTTAGGTAGCCGCAGACGCGTTCTCCTCCTCGATGCCCCTTTGATTGACATGGTCTCATCTGGCTCGCCTTCCACCGATCGTAACGGGGAGACGTATGACAGACATTTACGAGATTGACGTCTCCCCTTGATTCACATCATCGTTTGCAGGGTATGAAAAATGAAACAAGAAACGTCTTTCCTCACACCCCCGCTAGTGTAGCAGTTCGCAACAAAGCAGAGTCGCCAGGGTCTCATTCATGAACAAAAGGCGCACCACAGTCTGCATAAAGGAGAGCTGTGCTTTTTTCAGACGTCCGGGCCGGTGTCCGGTGTCTGGATGTCCGGGTCCCACGGCAACCATGGTTTTTTCAGATGTTTTGGATTTTTTTTTTTTACTTTTTTTTTTTGCTGGGACCTTCTTTGGTCCTTGCACGGCGGGGCCACCCGAGCAAACAAGGTGACCCGGGCAACCCGGCCAGTAGCCTAGCCTATTTGTTTCGAATCATAAGAGAAAAAAGAAAGCGCAAACATGACATTTGCAATGATACACGATTAACTCGAGGAAAAAAAAAAAAAAAAAAAAAAAAAAAAAGGGAAAAGGAAAGAAGGGAGAAAAAAAAGAAAAAAGAAAACATGACATTCGCAGGCATACCTTTACTCTAGTTCGCTCTTCTTCATCCACTAGCTCGCCTGTTTCAGCCCGTCGCTGTGCGTCTCTCTTCTGCAGATATCACATGCACAACAACGAGCATTAAGCCAACATACATATATTATGTAATGACAACTACGAACAAAATAACAACAAGTGGGAAAATGATAGTTCTTTTTTTTTATTTTTTTTTTATTTTTGCTTTTTACAAAAACACACCAGCCCGTTCTACTCTGGCGGGCATCAGTCCCGTTACTTATTACCGTCATAATTTTCAATATTTTTTGCATTCTTGTTTGCAATAAGGTCCCCATTGCAAATCTCTTATTTCCCGAGTACAACGATAATACGATATGCTTGCTTATCACCCAGCCGGTCGGACCCTCAGGATCTCTAGAACACCTCTTCATCTAAACAAAGTAAAGTGAAAAAAGAAAAAAGATAGATTCTTTTTTTTTCACGTCTTTTAACAAGAGTTGTTGAAATCATACTTGCGGCACGTAGCAGCGCGGTGCACAGTGCACTGATGGCAGCTGAGCGGGGAAAAAAAAAGAACCGTGATGTGTGTATACACGCTGGAGAGAGAGAGAGAGAGAGAGAGAGAGAGAGAGAGAGAGAGAGAGAGAGAGAGAGAGAAAGAAAAGAGCCCTTTCACATTATTCAGACAACCCCTGCCAGTACTTCAAAAGGTCCCTGCCAAAATTGGCAAGGGTCCCGTCGGCAGGAGAAGGGTAGTCACTGGAACTTGTGGTAAGAAGGGAGCAGGCCAGCTATATATGGTGGAGCTTCGAATTCAGGTCCGTGTTTCAGCAGTTATGGGTTACTAACTCACTAACTCGGCATGTGATTTTCAGGGCTTCACTCCACTACTCACCACATGTGCAAAACTACCGTTGAATGAATCTTCTCCTAGAAACTGGAACCATACAAGACATATGTTTTTCTTTTGTGATGAGTGGAGCGAGGCCCTTAGGGCCACTGCACGTACGGAAAGGGAAAAAAAAAAAAAAACGAGACATCTACTGCAGTGTTTGTAGAACTTTCGTATCCCATAACTCTTGGAATACAGACCTGAATCCGAATCCAGGATATATTGCTGGTCTGCTCGCGGTCTTTCAGCAGGTCGATGAACATCCTTCCAAATGGATGGGAAGCCTGCTGACTCTTTGAAGGGAACCTTTTGGAAAAGAGATAATATCCAACGAGTAGTACGAAGTGGCCCCAAAATTATTTTTGTTTTCTGTGCACGTACAATTTCAGAAGGGAGGGACGCACTTATGGTTACCACGGCCTACCCTTTTTGTTTTTTTATTATTATTATTTTGTAAATGTGCGGCATCACGTGCGCGCACACGTGCGCAACTTGCACGCACGAGATGCACTGCATGTATGGTTGAACTTCCGTTGAAATCAATTTATCAAAGTCTGTGTTCTGCCAGATACTTGTTGAGGCAAGTCCTCCTCTCCCCAAAGTTTAGTCCATGGTCATGCACCCTCTTTGTAGTACTAGTGCGTGAGGGGCCTATAGTAGTAGTAGTAGTAGTAGTAGTAGTAGTAGTAGTAGTAGTAGTAGGAGGAGGAGGAGGAGGAGGAGGAGGAGAGAACAAATCATAGATGCGAACGCTACACTCTGCTCTGTTGCTGTCAGCTTCAAAATGGTAGGGGCGTGCAATGTGCACACATGCTTTTTTCAAGTGTTTTCAAGCCTGGTCAGTCAGTGTGGATCAAAGCGTTCAGACTTCAAACCCTGATCCGTGGGACTTACAGAGGCAAGATGCTTACTGAGGGAGGATTCTCTGAGACACAGATAATTATTATCTACTTAAGGTAGTTCAACTTAGTTGTCAATATGAGCACGCAATCCCCTCGCCCCAAAGATATATGCCTTTTTTGGGGCCTTTCCTGGTTCATAGCAAGCGTCCAAGAGAGACACAGGTTGCTGCATTTTCCTTGAATTGTGTGAGACTCGCCCCGGTACCAAACTACTGTCTTCCCCTGAACACAACGCACCCTGATAATGAATGTAAAAAAGTCGCCTTTCCGATCCGGTACAGGCATAATGAGGGTGCATTGTGTTCGTGCCATAAACGGCACTCTCTCTCCTCCCACCCCACCCGCTCCTCTCTCTCTCTCTCTCTCTCTCTCTCTCTCTCTCTCTCTCTCTCTCTCTCTCTCTCTCTCTCTCTCTCTCTCTCTCTCTCGCGTGTGTGTGTGTGCGCGCGCGCGCGCGTGTGCCCCCCCACCCGAATTGCTATCGATGCCACATGTAGGATCTGCGGTCTGCGAAGATGTATCTCATACACCATGGGAGGGTACCACCACGGAGTGCTTCTTCACACTGAACCATACCAATAAGGTACAGCTGAAACCATAAGGTACAAACATACCAACCATAACCATAAGGCACACCGAACCAAATCAACCATAACCATAACGCACACTAAAGAATACAATACCATGCCTCTACGCTACGCTCAACCATGACCATAAGACACACACTGAACCATACCCAAAAGGCGCCCTGAGCCGTAACAATAACGTGCACGGTGTTTGCTTCGAAAGTACCTTGCGTGTAATGTTTGCATCCGTCGGAAAGTTGCGCTTCCGCTCGGCGATCCATCTTTGAATATCCTCATCACTCTCTTTCGGCCGCTTAGCCAGCGCCCTGAATTGATTGCATGAATTGGTAAAGGGAACAGCAACACAGTACAGCAAGTCCTTGCTCATCAGATACTCTTACAGAATATCATCAATCATCCGGGAAGAAGGGGGGGGGGGGGGGGGGGGGGAGAAAAAAAAGGTCACTGGGTGATGATTTCTTACTAAAACCACCACTGCCTCTGGATATGACCTGCCACGCCTAACCAGGTCGGCTTCCACGCTCTCAGCCTAACGAGGTACCATACAGGTCTCTGGCGGTCCCACAGGAAAAATCAGGGCCTATTGCAAATGCTACTCTGGGAAAAAGGAAACTACTAAAGTAAATTGTCCTTCGGGACACTTGTTACAATTGGAACGATACAGAGAAGATTAGCATGGCCCTGCGCAAGGATGACACGCATATATCGAGAAATGGTCCAAAAAAAAAAAAAAAAAAGGATAAAAAACTTTAAAAAAACAGCATCTAAATACTAAATACTAAATAGGTTTGAAGCCCTCATTGTTTTGTACTCATTGCACGTTTAAGAAATTGGAGTGTTATGCCTTCTTGTTATGCTCCATCGGTTTGTCTGATCCGTTCTGAAGATATCTGACCGAGTCTGCATTTTGCTATGTTCAGTCGATTCGTCTGAATTTCCCTGAGTTCTAAGCAGTTCTGTGGATTTCTCAGTTTTCTGAAGATTTCTCAGCTTTCTGAATATCTCTCAGTTTTCTGAGGATTTCTCAGTTTTCTGAAGATTCCTCAGTTTTCGGAAGATTTCTCAGTTTTCTGAAGAAAGCAAGCTTCAGACGTAACTATGAACTACGGAGGTTAGACAAACGACCCCTAAAAAAATAGCGTGGATGAACCCAACCAATGCGGCTGAATTACCCCCCCCCCCCCTTCCCAATGAATTGTTGATGAGCAGAGACCCGGGTTCGAACCCTGACGGGAGCAGATAAGGGAAATAAGAGACCCAAGTTCGAACCCTGATGGGATCAGATGAGTGAAATAAGAGACCCGAGTTCGAACCCTGATGGGAGCAAATAAGTGAAATAAGAGACCCGAGTTCGAACCCTGATGGGATCAGATGAGTGAAATAAGAGACCCGAGTTCGAACCCGGATGGGAGCAGATAAGTGAAATAGCTCTGAGACGCCTGGGGCTGGTCAGTTCAATGATAATACATCAAGGCCGCCGCCCTTCCCAAAAGAACGAGGGAGGGTGTGGATGCAGCTGGTTATATCGCCGGCTGTCAGAGATCCTCAGGTCTACGGCTACGATTGTGTTGTGTCGCAGCAAAGTCAAGTACCGACAACATTCACAAGCCTCTCAGAGCGAGTCGTTGGACAAAACAGGATAACCAGTTCCTCTAAACACTTTCTCAAATTCTAGAGGCGTCACAAAATAAATGAAAAAGAGAAGTCAGGCTGAAGGTAAGGCTTAGAACAGCCGAATGCGAGTCCTGCAAAGGACAAGGAACTGTGAGCACAGGGATCAGGCAGAATGTGAGTCCTGCAAAAGACAAGGAACTGTGAGCGCAGGGATTAGGCAGGACCCTGCAAACTGAACCCAGGCAATGGCCCTGGTGACTTTGATTGTGTAACGGGGCACTGGACCCGGTTTCCAGCCCCCACCATTAGATCAGAGCACCCGGAGGGAATCGGCACCCCCTGGTTTGACGGAAAAAAAAAAAAAAAAAAAAAAAAGAAAAGAAAAAAAGAGAGAAACAAAAGATTAGTCGCCTGTTCTTCAGCACATCTGTTAACATTGGAACGATATACACTTGGATGCACTGTGTTCTTAAGCCACATTACTGTTTTTTTTTTTTTTTTTTAAAAGGGGGAAATGAAGGATTAGCATGGCCCCTGCACAAGGATGACAAGCATAAATCAAGAAATGGCCCCAAGTTTTTTTAATTAAGGCTGCCCAGATGCAAATCCTAGGGTCAAAGTACAGGAAAACAAAAGGACTCGGCGCGTAGCGGGGAACCAGCGGCCAGTATAGGATGGTGGTAGATAAGCTGATTCATAACGGGAAAAAAAAAAAAAAAAAAAAAAAACTGTCAGAAAAGGTTTCCATGTGATGGGAAAACTTACCGCAGTGCAGAGGCTGAGACTGTTGCCACGTGATGAGCCGTTGCTTTATGCTCTTTCAGAAGTTTCCCTGAAACAACAGTGGATAGGAAATGCAATGCCAAGTTATATATCATCTCTCTCTCTCTCTCTCTCTCTCTCTCTCTCTCTCTCTCTCTCTCTCTCTCTCTNCCCCCTCCCCCCCTCCTTTACCCTCACCCTATACCCCCTTTGGGACCACAGCCACCCGGCAAGAATGGAATGCCGGTTTGTGTGCATAGCCAACAATGGCAACCATTGAAGAAAATTTTTGTAAGTCACTCACGGTCAAGCTTCGATTCAACCAAGTGATTTCTCTTCGACCCGTCATGATAGTGGAGGACCGACCTGAATTTTGTACTTGACTTACTCTTGCGAGCCTCCAGGCGCAACGTGCAGCAATTCGGACATCTTCGCCGAATTGCTGCTGGAGAGGAAGCGGTGGCCAAAGCTGCTTCACAATGTATCCTAATTAGAATCTCAAAAGAATCTAGTCTGATTATACAGCCAAATTCAGTATACTTCGGTTAATCACACGTCAGCACATCATGTTTGTGCCATCACTCTAATCAAAGATTCAAAACATGTGATCATACCTCGGCTTTCTCGCTGAGTGCCACATTCTCCCCCTTCGTACAACCCCTCCGGTTAGGGCCTCTTTTTGCTCAAATTCCCTCCCCCAGGATTACCTTACTCGCTTCACAGCCTTATCCCCAACCCTGCCTTGACTTTTCACCCTCACTTCTCCCTGTCTTTCTCCTCCGACGAACCAGGGTACAACGAGGGAGCATCAAGCGAACACATACAGGGTGTGGTTAAAGAACTCGACATGTAGGCCTCCGAAATCCAAAAACAGAGATGGTCAGGAATAGACATTCTGGATGAAAGCAGGGTTGCATACCCGCCGACCCCGACTGCCAACTGTTTTGCAGCCGACCAGTAGGGCCGACCGGTCGACAGTCTGCCGACCAGTCAGAAAACAGCCATCCATCGATTTTTTTCAAATCTGAGTTGGGGGCTGTCCTGTGCTCGCTGAGTACAGCCCAAATCCGCTGAGAAACTTTTTGGGATTTGGGAAGGGGGGAGGGTATGGGGGGTTATAGCTGTCTCTTATACACATCTAGATGTGTATAAGAGACAGGTATAGGGGTGGTAAAGGGGGTATGAAGGTGTTGGCGGGCCGTTTGGGGGTGTTGGCAGGGTGTGGGGGGGCAGGTACGGGGGTGTTGGTGGGGTTATTGGGGGTTATGAACACCCGCAAAAAAAAAAAAAGAGGGTGCCGACGACCCCTGACTGGTAGGTGCCGACCAGTCAAGGGGCGCCAACCATCAGGGTATGCAACACTGGATGAAAGGAAAAAAGAATTCCCAGTACAACAACTGGTGTATACAGTAAGTAAAGTGACAGATCTGACTCAACATCCTCTCCGACTGAAGGGAAAGGGAAAAAAAAAAAAAAAAAAAAAAAAAAAGACATTCTGAATGAACATGATGCAAATCTGATCAGACGACTCGCACAATGTCAATATACAGGTCCATGTCCTTGACTAAATGGTGCTAAACTGATGGCCAGACCTGTGCCCCAGTCTGGCTCAAGAGTTCCCAAGTTTTGCTATTGTGCTATCCTTGGGCTTTGAACCTGGGCAGATATCCTTTTACTAGACCAATAGGTCTTCTAGGCCCCCTAGTTTAGCGGTCACTCGCCCCAGTATGGTCCACAGCCCCATTAGCGTCCCCATAGTCGATTTGGAGGGAAATGTGTGGTTCTGGCAACAAGCGAAGTACAGTGTGCGGTAGTATTTGAAGTTTGCATTCATTCATTCATTCTGCGGATGTAGGCGAGAGAAGGTTGTTGCTCAACGCGTCTCGAGGACAGGCACAGGTGCAGTCATAGCTGCCCAGAGAGCTCAGTGAATACTTTTATCTTTTTTGCAATCTGTCGTCTGCGACAGGAGCCTTGGGGGGGTTGGGTGCACCTGCATATCTAATGCTTTTGTGTGCTCGTCGTGTACTTGGCTGTCCGGGAGCACTCATCTATTGTTGGAGTAATGAATCAAGCTTGCAAGTTCTTGCATTGCAGAGGGGGAGCACTTGTCCATTGTTGTTGGAGTAATCAATCAAGCCTGAAAGTACTTGCATTAAGTTGAAATCATCCAAATCATAGCAATGAGCGCTTGAGGGATGCAGATGCTGTGCAGCGGCCGTAAATTGGTTGATGGAATGCACTTCATGAAGACTCAAGCGATGCAGCTGCGGTGGGCTCTACAGTGCAAACTATAGTTTAGGGACATAAGGACGCAAAAAAGGTGCAGAGCTGGGGTGCACAGCCCACACTGCACCATCTGGTAGTATAGTTCGCAATCGGGACATGAACAAGGTTGATTGATTAACATCGCAATAGTCGCATGACGCATGATGCAAGCTAGCACCTTCACCCAAATAGAACTACTCATTGTATCTAGAGTGAGAATTGCCCTAGAAAAAACTATAAAGACCGGGCATTCTATTCGGGTGAAGACGGTAGAGCCATCATCACTTAAACTACCGCCCTGAAATCGAGCCCTCACAAGTTTACGACAAAAAACGTTGATGGGGCCCCTGTCGGCCACACGAAATCCTGTGGAAGTTGGATTGTTCAGCAAACCGATCAACTTAAAAAGCAGAGGCCACCAGGACCCATAACTGATTTGTCTGGTACCACCCAGGGCACAATTTCCAGGTAGTGGTTGCAGCACTCACTGCGTACAGGCAAAATGCTTCTGCATACATTTCTCGGCCTTTTGGCTAATATCAAGTGTAGTATCTGTTCTGATCACTTTGAAATCTGATCTGTGGTCCATCGGGCCACAAWAAAMAAAAAAAAAAAAAAAAAAAAAGCTTCTGCGGTCTTTGGCCACCAAAGACTTCTGAGGCCGCAGGATCATTGGCATCTGCCGCAAAACTGGGGTCCCCTGGATCCTGGGAGGCCCACTTTTGAAGGCAGAAATGAATGCCCCTGGATCCTGGGGGACCCCATAACAATACGCTTGAGGGATGCAGATGCTGTTTCCGAACGACAACAACTCATGAGCTCCGAAGAGGCTCTGTGAAATGTAGTACTGCTTGCGAGTGATCAGGGGATGAACGCTGTTAGCTATCATCGTAAAAATGGCGCCAGAATGGCATGAACAATGAACAATCAATCATTCAAGGTGGAGTGTGAGCACCCTCACCTGATGCCGCAAAGGTACAACCTTCTTGATCACATGCTACATGAGTTTTCAGGTGCGCGCTCATCTGCTCAGCATTCTTAAATGTCTTATCACATGTCTCACAATGGCGTAAAAGAGTGGTCTGCTGCTGGGCTGGCACCGTGTACTCCCTGCATGAAGCACTGACATCAGTTGAAACATCAAAACAAGTAAAAGCAACATACTCACTCAATGTCACGATATCACTGCAGACAGTGAAGAGAGACCAACATTCCTCGGTCATCGGTGAAGGTGAACTTATGCATGCTCGGGCCAGCACGCACCATCAACATCAGTCAAAACAAGAAAGACCTGCATCGGTTCCATTCTCCAGATCTCAGTATCACAGCAGGAGAATCAAGATTGCTTGTCATCAATGAGTGTGTAAACGGTCGGTGCTAAACTTAATTTCCAAAGACATTGCAAGCTTGGGAAGACAAGGAAGCCGTAACAAACACTGGTGCACAGGTATTCTGAGGTAGGGAAGTTGCAAGAGACCATATGTAACAAGAACAGGGTGGACAACGAATGAGGGAAGGAAGGAAGAGCAGTAGAGGTGCAAGAGCAACAGTACATCAGCAGCACAACCACTTCAAGTGCATTGCTCGTAAGATGAAAGTGAAGTGATGACATCAGATTATATTCATAATACAGTGCAACCTAGGGGGTGTAGGCCTTAGACTGGGCTCATTTCTGACCCCGTTCGGAGCTGGAACTCCCCCAGTGGTAGCTCTGGATAGTGGTGCTGTATGCCACTACTCTCTCTCTCTCTCTCTCTCTCTCTCTCTCTCTCTCTCTCTCTCTCTCTCTCTCTCTCTCTCTCTCCCCCCCCCCCCCCCCCCCCCCCCCCCCCCCCCCCCCCCCCCCCCCCCCCCCCCCCCCCCCCCCCCCCCCCCCCCCCCCCCCCGGTGCACTTGCATGCGCTTATACCTCTCCGTCAACCCTCATGTGTTGCCTGTATGTGCACCTGTGCCTCGATGCACGTTAGGATGGTTGCTCGTAGAAGCTCAGACAGGATCATGCGAAGGGAGACAACATACCTATTCAATGTTGGAGGATGCGGAGCCCTTTGCCCAAGGTTATTTCCAGGCAGATATCGCTGGGGAAAGCCCTGACGCTGTTGCATTGGCTGTGAACCTGCCACCCGTAATCCCCCCTGAGCGTAGTGCCCGTTTGACCATGCAACGCGTGATGATGGCTCTTCCCCTGGACCAGAATTCCTGCCAACATGTTGTGCGTCACGCCCTGAACCAGGTGCCCAAGCTCTTGAAGATTGCTCACCCCTTTGGTGGACCCGACCTTGCTCCTGGCCCAACCCTTCCCCCCTTCTTTCTGGAAATGGACCCCTCTCTTCTGGGGCACATCCATTCCGCATCAATAGGGTCCCTGGCGTATGGCACAACATTGGCGATACGCGATCTCCTACTTGGTTGCTTAGATCATTTGGATTAGGTGGCCATGGACGTTGATGTGACCTGAGCTGCTCGTCCTGCATGGAAACGATCCGCTCAGGTCTGTCGCACTGTGGATGTTGCTGATGAGGAGGCCCACGTGGAATTGGCGGAATTGGTGGAATTGGCGGTGCTGCGGCTGCTGCCATGCTGTGATGCTGATGAGAGTGAGGGTGTGGAGGCATGGGAGGAGGAGGACGAATTTGTGTTTGTCCTTGCTGCTGGCGACAATGTGGCTGTGGTGGCAACATCGGCAGCGGTCCCGCTGACGGCATTGATACCCGACCTCCCTGCTGTCGGGGTTCAAATGGCAGCACTGGCCCACCTGAAGACACCACCACGGCCCGTTCCCCGACATGACTTTGCAGTGGTGGTGGCGCCCGTGCAATCCCTTGCGCTGCCTGCGAAGGCGGCTTTGGCCATGGCGGCTGTGGTGGCGGCATTGGTGGGCAAGGAGGACGCAGGTTTCGTGGTGGTGTGGGTGTCCGCTGTTGGTGATGTAAAGGCGGTCCAGACATTCCATTGACATCGTGTGGCTGCTGCAGAGAATGAGGAGGTGGAGGTGTTTTTGGTGGAAGTGGCCGCGCCATTTTCTGCCTTGGACTGTGTTGGGGGGGCCATCCCTGCTCTGCCCCAGGGGGTGGTTGAGATTGTTGGGGTGATTGAGACGGGGGAGGTCGTCGACATTGTTGGGGCAGTGGCTCTGGTTGCAATGGCTGTTGATGTGGTCGAGGTGATCGTTCAGGTGGATGATGTGCTTGAAAAGGTGCTGCTGGAGGTGGCAGGGATGTTCGGGGTGGAAGTGGCGGTTGATGAGGCAGAGGGGGTTGATGCGTCGGTTTCCATGATGATGCCATCGGCTCAACGTTGCCTTGATTTGGCTGTACATGTGTCTTCCCTGCCTGGAACTCATAAAGTGTACGTGATGAGGAATCTCCCCATGCACGCGATGCTGAGTCTTGAACGTCAGGATGGCCGAAGTCTCTCCTTCCTTGATCGTCTCCACAAAGTCTCTCGCGACACGTTTGATCGCCTCCCCAGCCTTTTCCATTGCCCTCTCCTTTTCTTGCCATACCTTGGTCCTGGCGACCAGAAACCCAGCCATTTTCCCTCTCCTGGCTCCGTTCTGCACTTTGTCTGGTGTTTTCACAAGGGCTTAAATGTCTGTCGCCTGCAACATTGGCCCTCCAGCCTTCCCACAACCCACCCCGTCCTCCGACACCCACTTGGCCATTAGCCATTCCTTCTCCTCCCGCTCCTTGCCCTCGGTTCCAACTCCTTTCCAATTTGGCATCGTCATGATCACCATGGCTAAAACCATGCCCCCCCATCTCCCCCTTTTCTCTGTCAGCACCCCACTGGTCTCCTTCCCTGGCGGCCCAGCCCGTGGGAGCCTCCCTAGTCGCACCCCGCCCTCTGCCTTCAGGGTTCCAGTTTCGTCCGGTCCCCTCGGGAGCCCCGCTCCCCTGATCAGGGTCCCAAACACATCCCCCAGCATCTCCTCTAGAGGCCCAACCACTGCCCTCTCTGCCTTCCGCTCGATTCCCATAATCATAACTCTGGCGCCCAAAATCATGACCCTGGTTTGCAACTGTCTGATTAACACGACAATCACTTCGTTCTCCCTCACTGCCACCCCACCCTCTTCCTCCTCCTCCTCCTCCTCCTCCTCCTCCTCCTCCTCCTCTTCCTCCACCTCCGCCTCTTCCTCCTGTTGCTCTCTCTCTCTCTGGGAGGTGTCCCCATTCCACTGCTTCCGCTGGCAACCCTTGCCTGGAACTGCCACCTGTGCCAAAACTGCTTCCATTTCCGTCACCCGATCGATAAGCGCCCGGCGCATTTCCTTGTCTGATATGGTCATCTCCAGCAAAACCCCGACCATACCCCTCTCCCATGCGCCCCCCCTGGCCACGCCCACCCCCCCTCCCTCCCCTGCCAGGAGCCCAGTCTCTTCCTTCTCTGTTGCCCCGGCCTCCCCCGGGACCCGAACCATTCATGTTCCCCCGTCCGGGCCATGGCCTACCATTTCCTTGCCCAGGACCTCCGCTGCCTACTGCTCCCAAAGTCTTTCCAAAAGCAGCCCCTGGCCCTCCTGGGACCGGAGGAGGAGGGGTTGCAGATGGAGGCGGTCGGAACATTGGATCCGCAGAGGAACTAGACCACTACAGATTGCTGAACGATGCGAATTCACCTCCACATTGTGCCTGTCAACAGAAACAATGAAACATGCGAAAACAGGCACGGAGATAATAAATACACAGACCAGTGACACGTGAAAAACAGGCATGCACACAAATTTGCACTCCCTTTTCACACATCTCTACATACAATCCATGACCGGGAGGGAACCCCAACCCTGTTGCGAACAGTGACATGCCTAGAGTTGCCCATAATCACAAACAGGGGAAATGTCAGAAATGTCAGCAATGTCAGAAATGTCAATAATGTCAGAAATGTGTCATTTTGCCGAACTTCGCACACTTCCTTTTCCCGGCCTTCTAGCCCAGTCCAATTTTCCCCAACTCTGTGCACTCCCTGTTGTCTGCGGCAATATAAACGTGCGGCTGGGCATAGAGCCGGGTGAATCTCAATTTGAAATGTGGTAGGATCATACAATGAGAATTCCGGGCACATACGCACCAGGGCTTTTCTGGATGCATCTGAGCCTAATCAAAGCTACATTCATTCAGGTGAAAAGGTCTTGTAGAGCAGGTGTGGCCTCACTCGATATGCGGTGGCCAAGAGGGACGCCCCCCCCTGCCTTGCTCCCGAATTTCAGATCGATTCGTCTTGATGTAGTTATAAGGAAGTACATACTATAGCAACAATCACACTAAAAGAGTATATTGGAAGGAGTGAAATAAAGAATAGCTTGTGGAAACATTAGGGCCTACTCACACTAGGGCCTTTTATGCAAAAGTAGCTAAAATTTGGTGGTTGGGCCAGTGATCGCACGAGGCAGGGAAACTGGCAAAAGCAGCAAACGGGGTATCAAATGTCAGCGGCCTGGCGGGGCCGCGGGGAAAGGCATTTTGCCATATTTTGCTACCACCTCTGGAGGTTGTAGCATTTTTTTTTCTCCTTCAGTTCGAGAGTTTGTGAAAGGGAATTGGAAACGAACTTTGTTGAAAAAAAAACAAGAGCTCAAGGATTTGGGCCTCGCGCTGTGTGACCACGCGAGGCACCATGTTGTTGGCAATTGCCAGAAAGTCCGGCTCGTGTCTTTTGTGATTGATTTGCTGCCGCTATGTGACTGGGCGGGGTGACATTTCAGCAGAATCGGGATAGCAAAATTCGCAGATTTTTGCTGCCATGCCACCGCTGTGTGAGTACGCCCTTAGTATTGAGAATCTTACTGCCAATGGTCTGGCGCGTTTCCATGTATTATGAGTGTGAAATCTACAATTCTCGATGTGCCATAACACAATGTGTGAAATCTACGGTTCTCGATGTGCCATAACACGGTGTGTGAAATCTACGGTGCTCGACTGTTGCATGTCAAGTTAGCATTTTGTGTATAATACAGTTTCCAGTCATTGTATATTGTTTATTTCTCCCAACGTTTGGTGCGCATAGAACGTGGAAATTGACTACATACGGGATCACACCCCTCAAGAATAAGGGCCGGTGAAAACAATCAAGAATCACTCAACTGGGTTATCGAAATGGAAAGGAGAAGTGAAAAGAGAAAAAACCAAAAAAATATCTGAAAGGAAATATTGAAAATGCGAAGGAGAAAGCATTCAGATTTTCTGAGCAGCAACAACAAGGGACCCCCATGCCTAGGAAACCCCAAATGCAAGATTCACATTTTGGGGGTTGAGTCTCACGTACCTGATTTGCATTCGTTGCAAGCATTATTATGGCTCTATGTAAGACTTATGGCTCTATGAGTGACTCTGCCTTTCTGTGTTTTTTTTTTTTTGGAGGTAATTTCCTAAATTTCAAACTGCAGAGTCTGTGCAGACCCCTTTCCCTCAACAATTTGCCACAGAGCATCGAACCAAGCGGGAAAGGGGTCTGCACAGACTCTGAGTGACTCTGCCACAGAGCAAATTGACGATATATAACGGTTTATATATCACGTTATATACTCACAAGAAAAGGGAGGGAAAAGGGGAACAGAGCATCCCGTTTCTTGTCTCCGCTTTTCCTCCCTTGCTGTCTACGGTTCACACCACGCAGTTCTCTACGACGATATATTCTCTCACATACCTATGAGCTAAAAGCGTGCATTTTGCAAAA